TGCACCTGTGGGGACCAGCGGACCTCACCTGGGGTTCCTCAGGTGCCATCCACCTCTTTTGGTTGGTTGTTTTGAGAGCATTTCACTAGCCTGGACTTGCCAAGTATGTCAGCCTGGCCGATCAGTAAGGCCCATGGACCAGTCTGTCTGCATCCCAGTGCTAGGTTTGCAAGGGCACAGCAACACTCCTGCCTTCTTTTTACATGGGTTCTGGAGATTGGACTCTGATCCTTGTGTTTTCAAGGCAAGTACCTAACCTCTGACCTGTTGTCCCAGCCCAGATATTTGCTCGTATGAGCTTGAAGGAGGCTGAAGCCCAGGTACCGTGGCCTCTGCAACTATGGGTGATGGGTGTGTGATAGCTCATGGGGTGAGGGCCAAGGCCTTGCTCAGGCAGGGACAGAAATACTTCGAGATGGTCTCATCGGAACTCTGGCAGTTGGACTCCTCACAGATCGGTCTCCCCTCATGGTGTGGCTGTGGTGAGGCCCAGGCTGGACATACCTCCTGTCTGAGGAACTCAAATACTCTGAAGCCAGTTCCTGGAGAGAGGTGACCCAGGAGGCCTCTGGGTAACACCCAAGTGGAACTCAGCCCTGTGTCAACCTATCCCTGTCCATGGAAACAGCTCTATCAGGTGGTCAAGGCATGAACAGAGCCTGTGAGGTAGAGTGAGTTCACAACCTTTGGAGCCTGACCACCCAGGAATGTGTCACCCAAGAAGACAATATCATTTACAAACATATGGAATCTAGTCTGAGGACTCTGTAGAAATGTTTCCATCAAGGGCCATGATGCTGGGATTTTATTTCCTTGGGAACAGGTGCACCCTAGAAGTTTAAAAGTGTAGGTCTATGGTCCTTTTGTCCCCAGAGTCGTGGCAAAGTCCCAGGGAGCTTTGACCTGCTCAGGGCTCAACTCATCACTGGCTTGGGAGGACCATTGTATGGACCATTCTCAGCTGTGGAGAAATCAACAGTGTAAGGTGACACCCACAAACTTCCTGGTAGCCCCCAGATTTCTCAAACGTTCCGAAAGTCTCTCAGCTCCCACTATATGTTTCTCCTTAAGTCAGATTCAGGTTTGAGAGCAGCCTTCCTGGCCTTCCACCTTCTGCTCTAGCTAACGCCGCCTGAGATGGGCAACAGGATGAGCCACCAGTCATGCGTGTCACCCCCCACAGTGACAGTGCATACAAGCACTAAACCATTTCCCCAGAATTTAAAAATATATCAGTCTTGTTAGGTGACTCTTTCTGGCCCTGCACACCCCACAAAGGAATTAGCATTGCCAAGAAGTCTGAATGATGTTGGGGTGTGCGTGTTGAGCTCACATGTGAGACCAACCTGGTGTTTACAGTGTGACGAATGGCAGTAGCTGTTCCCTGCTCTCTCCTCGTGTGGCACTGCTGTGCTCCCGAAGGCTCCAACAGACATGATATTCCCACCACCTCTTTGTCCCATGACAGTGTGGGGCCCCGTGTATTCAGTATCACAAGCTTTGCCAGCAGGCATTTGTATCACCAAAGAGCAGGATTTAAGGTCGGCGTTGTACAGGTGATATCTGCTGGCTCCCTGGGAGCTTTCAGATAACAGTGTCACCATGACCCACTTTCTCAGGCCTCTTGTGACCTGGGTCTTCAGGGACAGGACTTACCTTTGAGTCTACTTGTGATCAGTGTGAGTCATGGGTCTTATGGACACTGAGTGTCCAGGACTGTCAGCACTGCCCTGACTTGTGGTAAGGACCGCCACATTTCACCTGTTGGGTTGACTTCCCCCTGAGAGTCCTAGTGCTCTTTCCTGTCGATGCCATCTTGGGATTAGCTGAGACACTGCCTGTCTGTCCCCATGTTAATCTATAGCCTACAGTGAACGTCGGGGCAGAGCCACCAGCGTGCAGCCAGGCCTCAGTCCTGTTCCTGGTGCCTACCCCAGGCATCAGGTGAATGGTAGGATCACGGCAGGCACAGGGCCCTGAACATCTGGGGATTTGTGGTGGCTTTAGGTCTGTGATGATGGCAGATGCCTCTGTTAGCCAGGAAGCCATCTATAGGCAGCAGGTGAGAGCCTGAGGAACCTGCACCTCTGCCAAAGCAGGGGGAGGAGGCACCCTACCTGTGAGTCAGGTCCTGCCTCCTCCCTTGGCGCGTGTCTCTCTCACCCTCCCTCCTTCTCTCCCTCCCTTTTTTCTCCCTCCTTCTAGCACTTCCTCCCTCCATTCTCTCCTTCTTCCCTTCTTTCCTCCTCTGGCTCTTATACATATTTTTAAAAATTGATGGCGAATCACTTTGTGCTATGAGAAACAAAGGCTTGCTCTGCTTATTGGAAACTGAAATGCCTTTTTTCCAGACACGTGACCACAGCTCCCTAGGTAGTCTGTAGCTCGTTCCAGAGGCTCCCGAGGGCTGTTCCCAGAGCCCCAGTGGGTGTGAGGCCAGGGTTCCTCCCAGTGACAGTATGTCTGCTCTTCCTGCAGATGAAATCATGCACCAGGACATCGTCCCGCTCTGTGCCGCTGACATCCAGGAGCAGCTGAAGAAGCGCTTTGCTTACCTGTCTGGTGAGTTCCGGAAGCCAGGGCTGAAGGGTACAGCAAGGGCATAGCCAGTCACCGGGGCTACACCCCACTCTGTATCAGTGGCTGTTTCGGCGCCCTTCGTGAAGTGCCTGGCCATGGGGAGGAGGGGGCAGGGTCATGTCTGCACCCTCATTTCTGTTCTGTCATCTACACTGCAGTGTCCCAGATCAGGTGAGTGGTTGAGAAAAGAGGTTTATTTAGCTTACAGCTATAAAAGTCCAAGCCTGAGAGAAGTATCCAAGGGTGATCTCCTTGCTGTCAAAATCCGAGGCCATGCAGGCTATCATACAGCGAAAGGTGGGGTACATATGAGTGTGCTCAGACATGTTTATGTGTGTCTGTGTCCTCAAGTCTCTTTATAAAGCTACAAAGACCCAATCAAAGGGCCACCTGCCTGATGATTAACGCTAATCACTTTCCCAAGACTTCCCTCTGGGTACCACAGTTGGATTAGTTCTGCCTCACAGAACCTCCCAGATTAAACTCCAGCACAGGAAGACTTAAGAGACACTCAAATCCCAGCCATGGCCCTCAGGCTACTGTGGGCCTGTCAGGATCTGGAGATGGGTGAGCTGGGTGCTCCTGATCTAGGATTCCAGAAACTTGGCCCTCCGTGCATGGGTGGATGCCAGTCCCACTGCCATTGGTGCCTCCTGTGATCATGGCTGTGGGATATCTCACCAGGCACCTCCCTTGGTACTGCTGTTGTTCAAGCTCCACCTCAGAAGCAACAGCCTTGAGCCTGACCAAGCTGAAGGCTGAGGGTCATGGCTGTCCCACCTTGCTGCAGGTGGTGTGTTTCTAGCCTTGTGACAACACTCATGAGCTGAGCTAGATGTGTCTGTTTGTCAAGACCAATGAGCCTTCCTCCAGATCTCAGGTCAGCTCAGGGTGTCCCCCTCTAGCCAGCCTGGAACACCCCCATCACTTAGCCATATAAGGAGAAACTCCATCCATATCCGTGACTCCAGGGCATCCCACCCCTTGGAGTCTTCTCTGGTCTTCCCAGCCTGTATTCGTTGACCAGGCCTGTGGCCAAGATACAACATACTCCAGTCACGTAGATTCTAGGGAGCTTTGAGATATTGGACAGGGGTAGAGTTGAAATATTCTGTGGGGAGTAATATCACTGACTTAGAACAATTCTAGCCATATGAGGTGAGCAGGAAAGTGGAACCTCTGAGGTGTTCTGCTGATGAGGCAGTCCCGTTGGGGGGGACAGGTCTCCCCAAGGTTCCTGAGAGGACAGTAGAAGGGATGAGACACCATGGAAGGGCAAGCTCAGAGAAAGCTTGTGAAAATGCCACAGTGTCTGCCTCCCCTCCTCAGCTTCTCCCTACCTGTCAGGATGAGCAAGGCTCCAGGCTTAGATATGCCCCAGCCTTGGGTCCCTGGCCTTGACCTTAAACTATGAGCTGCCCATATGTCCCTATATGGGGGCCTAGGGTACTCAAGGGTAAGATCCTGGCAGCCCCATTGCATGTTCACCTCTCCATGGTCTAACATCAACCTGGGAACTCCAGGCTACTTAGTTGATGAAGTGAAGGTCAGGTCTCCATCAGCTAAGGACCCTGACTGAACTTTGGCCGCATCTGCTGAGGCTGCAGAAACTGGCTTCATCTACCTGAGAATCTGAGATTCTCTGTCCAACTGCAGAGGTGCAGAGGTGTAGGGGTGAGGGGTGAGGGGTGAGGATGAGTTTGCATCTTGGGCCTAGGAGTCAACAGCAGCCCCCGCTGGTGTCCAGCAGATCCAGGAGGAGCTACACTCCTCTGTAACCTGCAAGAGGCCTGGGAGAGGTGCCAGCTCATGTGAGACGCAGCCCACAGACAGCACTCAGCCCCTGAGACTTGGAGGGCCTGCTGAGCGGCGCTGGGCAGCTGTGAGCTGATAAGTGGAGGTGTTCTTCGTGACCAAGTGTGAGCATCTGCTCTGAAGTGTTCAAGTCCGTGAAACTTGAATGTCTACCACTATTCTACAAACCACTCTCTGCGCTGGTGTCACTGTTCATGGAGACACGCCTGAGACATTTCAGCAGGCGTCTCCATCCTTCCCTTGTTCCCACGCCGCAGTCACTGGGACACTCTGGTGCCTTACCTAAGGATCTGCGTTCTTACTGCCCCTGAGCCATGGACAACCCCGTTCTCCTGCCTCTCCACTTCCATCCTCTGGAGGGCACAGCTCCATACGCACAGCCAATCCTAGCCTGCCCCCCAATCTACTGCACAGTTAGGGGGTTTTATGAATACAGTGGACTGTAAGATAAATCACTGTCAGCTAAGAGCTTCAGGGCCGAGTGGTACAGGACTGGATACTTTACTCTCTCCTCTGCTGTAGATGAAATTTGGGCTGGCCGAGTACTCATTCTTCACCACATAAATCCACAGTCTTCACAAGAGTTACCTACCAGGCCTTTCCCTTGACCCCATGATGTGGCCATTCCTCATGACACTTAGCAAGCTCCGTTGAGATGAAAATGCTTTAATCAGAGACACTCACCTGCCTGAGACCCCCTAGTCTAGGCAGGACTGCTCCTCTAACGCCCCAACTGAATGTGCAGAGACGGAAGGCTGAGGGCGTCTCACACTGCCCACTGTACCCGACAGAGCAGCCATGCAGCTGGCCCATAGTTTCTGGGGCCCCTTGGGCTTCATGGCCTTCCCTCAGCTGTCACTTCCATTTGCCAGTGTTTACAGTCTCGTGTCCCCCATGGCAGCTTTAATGTCAGAATTACAGCTGGTTTGAAGTTCTCTCCAAAACAGGGCTACCCCATACCCTGTGGAATGTCGCTGGTACCTAAAACACCCTCTCCATTTAATGGCTGAGTTCGGAGCAGGCTCCTCAGACCTTCAGGGCATCACCTGCTTCTGACTCCACAGTCAGCCTGGGGCAGTCTCTGCTCTTGAGAATCACCCTAGAGAGAAACAGACCTGGACAGCTGCCTGGGAGCCCTGAGTGCCCAGCGAACATCAGATAGCAGTAGCCAACACAACTCCTGGAGGCTGAGAAGCAGTCACACCCACCAGCTTCTGGATAGCTCTTCAGGGGTCCACAGTCATGCGTTGTCTGAGATACCCAGTAGCTGCTTTGGCCTGAATGAGTGTCCCCCCACATCCACATGTTGAGGCCCAACCCCTCATGAGGTGGTGTCAGGAGACAGGCTCCATGACATAATGGTGCATCAAGCAGGAGCACCCTTATATCAAACACTGAGGCTGCCGATGCCCTGACCCAAGAGGTCCATCCCGCAAAGCTGCGAGAAGGAACTTCTGTTGTTTGTAAGCTACGAGTTGATGCTGTTTTGTTTTAACACACCAAAGAGACACAAACCCTAATAATACCTGTGAAACTATTAAGTCAGTGTAAAACACCCTTTGTACTCACAAAGGCTTTATGTCAATTTGGGGTCCCCTGGTTTTCTAAATGAATATCCAGCTTCAAGGGGATACCTTCTGATACTTTCATCCTTTTGTGAAATTTTATATCTTTATAATTAGTTTGTTATATACTTCTACCATTATCCCCTCCCCTTTACCCCCTCTGCCCCTTCTCATGCACTTCCCTCTTTCAAATTTCCTAGTTTTCTCTCAAATTCATGGTGTCTTTTTCCTGAGTTGCTGTTACAAATGTGTGTGTGTGTGTGTGTGTGTGTTCCTAAATTTATAAATGCAGCTTCTCAGTCTGTATATATAAATGCAGCTTCTCAGTCTGTATAATGTTACATGTATGTATATGATCTCAAGGGTGACTGTTTGGTATTAGACAGTCAGGTGGGGGCTCTGTCCTGAAGAAGATGGTTCCTCCCACTCTCAGTGTCCCCTAGTTGCCTATAGTGCTCTGTCTAGGTTGAGGCTCCATAATCTCCCTGCCCCCTTCGTGTTAGCATGTCCGTTGGTATCATCATTGTTCAGGCCATGTTGATGAAACTTCATGGGTGTAGTCTTTTTGACATTTCTAGGAGACACATAGAGATCCCTGGTTTTTTTCTGGCTATTACAATCCCTCTGCCCCCTCTGACAGTGATCCCTGGCCTTAAGTAAGGAGTTGTGTTGTAGGTGTGTCAGCTGGGACTGGGCTCCACACTATCTCTTGGTCTCTTCGTTTTGCTCAGTTGTGGTCTTCTGTAATTCTGTCTGTTGTAAATAGACGTTTCTTTGATGAAGGATGAGAACTATATTATTTGTGGGCATAAGGATAAATGTTTAGAATGTGATTAGGAACTGTGCTTGCTTAGTAAATGGTAGTTGAAGGCTCTCCTCCAAGGTCCATGGCTAACCAGCCCCAGGCTGTTGGCTAGTGTTTCAGTATCAGCACGGTTTCCCTCTTGTTAAGTGAGCCGGCATCCAATCAGAGAGCTGTTGGTTACCCCAGCTGTGCACGCCGCTGCCATACCCCTACGTTTATGTATGGTGGTGCCATGTTGGTCTTTGCTATGGTTCGCAGGCATCACATCTGAGTAGAACTCCCCTTGTAAACGTACATGACATCTGCGGTTCCGTGAAAGCTAGTCTTCAGGGAGAAAGCTTCAGGTCATACCCAGCTCAAGTCCTCTGGGCTCCTGTGAAGAACATGGTATCCCCATAATAGGAGCTTACCTTCCGCCTAGGGGGCAGCCAAACGCAGCAGCAGTAGTTTACAGTGTTATGGGAGCCTCTTGGACAACCCTGACCAACAGCTCAAAAGGGAGCTTTCCGTGCCTAGTGTTGGTGTTCTGTTAGATCTGTGGCGCTTTGGGGGGCATTGTCAGACCAATGGGAAGATTTCATTGAACACACACACACACATACACACACTCACACACACACACTCTCACACACACACACACACACTCTCTCACACACACACATACACACACTCACACATGCACACTCACACACACACTCTCACACACACACTCTCACACACACACTCACACACACTCACACACTCTCTCTCTCTCTCTCATACACACACACACACACACACACACACAGGGGGGAGGGCACGTTCTTTCCTTGTGGCGGTTCAGCCGTCCTTATTGTTGTTCTCCCCTCCTCACTCCTCACCTATCTGTATCTCCCCCTCCCTAGCCCTCCCCATTTTTCTCATTCCCCCTTCAGATCACTTGTACCCTGACATTCCCTCTCTAGTGTTCTCCCACCCCGTGGACCTGTGTTTCTTTTCTGGTCTCAAGTTGATAGCCTCTTCCGTTTGATTGTATCTGTCACATATGTGTGTGTGTACATACATGTGTGTGTACACACATTTACATACAGGGAACCCGACGAGCCCGGCTCTGTGTATTTGGTTCAAGGCTGACCACTCTGCACTGGGCAAGCAATAAGGGGCTCATCCCTGGGCAAGACTACCTCTCCTTCTCCTGGCAGTCATGAGTTGCCTATGCTTCTTTGTCTGGGGCTGAGACCCCAAGAAATCTCCCCTCCCTCATGTCAGCATGTCCATAGGTATTGCTGTGCTTCCGGTCTTGTTTATGCAGCCATTTCTAGGAGAAAACTGTTTCACAGAAGAAAAGAATTCCTAGTTTCCTAGCTCTTTTTTTTTAAAGATTTATTTATTTATTTTATGCATATGAGTATACCACCATTGTTCTCTTCAGACACACTAGAAGAGGGAATCGGACCCCATTATAGATGGTTGTGAGCCACCATGTGGTTGCTGGGAATTGAACTCAGGACCTCTGGAAGAGCAGTCGGTGCTCTTAACAACTGAGCCATCTCTCCAGCCCTTCCTAGCTCTTAAAATCCTTCCACCCCCACTCCTGTGAAGCTCCCTGAGCCATAGATGCAGGAGGCATGATGTAAACGTATCCACTGAGGGCTGGGTGCCCACAGTCCCTTGACCTGCATGTGTCCAGCTGTGGTTTTCTCTGACGCTCTCCATTTGCTACAATGCTTCTTGGATGAGGGTCAGTTGAAACACCCGGTGTCCAAGAAGTTTCTGTGGCTTGTTAGAGACAGCCAGGATGCTGAGGCTCTTCTGAACATCTGCCCCTTTTCCTCCTCAGGTGGGCGGGGACAGGACGGAAGCCCAGTCATCACCTTCCCTGACTACCCAGCCTTCAGCGAGATCCCAGACAAGGAGTTCCAGAATGTCATGACCTACCTCACCAGCATCCCCAGGTAGGGCTGCTGAAGCCGGAGGGGCTCTGTGGGATTTTCTGCTTGATTGAGACCCCAGGGTTCTGGGGAACGTGTTGACAGCTCAGAGCCCACTGTTACAGGTCCTAGGCTCCCACGGACTACTGGGCACTGCAGTGATCCCAGCCCTTAATCCCAAGTTCAAGTCCAGCATGAGCTACTAGTGACACCTGTTTCAAGAAAACAAAATATAGTCACTTTTATCTTTTAAAATGTCACTAGTCAGCCGGGCGGTGGTGGTGCATGCCTTTAATCCCAGCACTTGGGAGGCAGACGCAGGCGGATTTCTGAGTTTGAGGCCAGCCTGGTCTACCGAGTGAGTTCCAGGACATCCAGGGCTACACAGAGAAACCCTGTCTCAAAAAAACAAACAAAACAAAACAAAAAACAAAAAAAAAGTCACTAGTCATTGTCCATTCTGGTGAGTGAGTCTTTCCATCCCTGGGAAGGGTGCCATGTGGTCATGACTATGGAAGAAGACTGTTTACAGCTGAGACTCAGTTTATCCCAGAGCCTGGCTACCATTCTAATCTGGTCATTGATTCCAAGGAAGTCCCCTGAGGTGGCTGCTGGAAGCCAAGAGAGCAGAAGTAGCCACAGCCACTTCTACGTCCTTGGTATTAGTCACAATTCCCTCGAGGACCAGAACCCATGAGTATATATTAAAGAAGACTCATTTGATTGGTTAACACACTGCAATCCAGGTAGTCTAATAGTGGCTGCCTCATGTTGGAGAGGCCCAGAACCTGATAACTGTTTGGCTCATGAGGCTGAATGTCTCAGCTGTCTCAACCTGAGACAGGAACTGGAGGATTCCTAGAGAGCTGCTTGTCTTCAGTCTGTCATAGAGCTGAGGGAGAGGCTAGAGAAGTGGCCGTGTTTCATCTGAGACTCACTCAGACATCCAAGGAGAGGTGGCACTCTATGTCTGATGCCGGAAGACCTGGCTAGGCTGATGCCGGAAGACCTGGCTAGGAGTTGGTGGGAGTTGGTGGGTGGGGCTGATGATGGGTGGAACAGGGGAGGAGTATGTCCCCAGAAGGGGAAGAAGATCTACTGTGCAAAGAGTTGTAGGACCGAGCCAGGAAGTAGGGGTGAGCCCAAGCTGGCCCTGTGGAGCAGGGGACCACCAGGTCCTGCGGGTGTAAATGGTTCATGGGTTTCTAGGTCAGTACTGTGCTCTTGGTTGGGGCCCTGCTGTAATGAAGGTCAGTTACTAGATTAGTAGGTTTTCATGTTCTGTTCCCTGTTGATGACAGTTCCTAAATGTTTACCCGGGTCTCCCTTGAGTCTCAGTATCCAGAGACTGCTCCTCTGTCTTACTTAGGGTGACTGTTGCTATCATGAAACAACATGACCAAAAGCAACTTGGGGAGGAAAGCGTTCTTGACTTACATTTCACAGCACTGTGAAGTCATCGAAGGAAATCAGGACAGGAACCCAGAGGCAGGAGCGGACACAGAGGCCATGGAGGGGTGCTGCTTACTGGCTCACTTAGCCTGCTTTCTTATAGAATCCAGGACCACCAGCCCAGGGATGGCCCCACCCACAATGACCTGGGCCCTCCTCCATCAATCACTAATTAAGAAAAAGCCCTGCAGGCTTCCCTACAGCAGATCTCATCTTCTTACTGGGCATTTTCTCAGCCGAGAGTCCCTCGTTCCAGATGACTCTAGCTCATGTCAAGTTGACAAACAACTATCCAGGACATCCTCCTGCTGCCCCCTGCTGTTGTCTGTAACAACACTTACCTGGATGGTCACTGTATGTGCCTTCCAGGGGGAGGTCAGCCCCCTCTACCAACTTGGACCAGGACAAGAGGACTGCAGAGGGAAGGGACGCTCGCGTGGACAAGCCCACCATCCCGTCCCAGGGCTCTCACAGACTACTCCAGACCTCAGCTTCCACAGAAGCATTTCATTTGTGAAGTCCAGCGCTTTGAGCACGGGAGCCTCTGAAGCTCCCCGGAGTCCCTGCAACTTCTGCCCTTGAAGACTCACTGTGGGGAGCTTCTCATGAGGTCCCGCCCTGTCCTTCTGTGTCACATTCTCCTAACCCCACCAGAGGCCACTTCCTCTTCATTGCTCGCTAGTTATCTTTCTCTGTCACTGTCATCCAGTGTGATAGTCACTGACCATGTGTGGCCATGTAAATTTAAAATCAAAGAAAACAAAGTACTTGTTTCTGCCCGCACGGGGCTAGGGGCTACTGTAGTGGGCAGCTGCATCCTGTGACTCATGTCGTGTTAACAGCGCATGCCTCTCATTCAGGGACAAGGGCAGTGGCTGTCCTGGTCTTTTGTCCAAGAGGAAGAACAGCTGCCATCACCCTGCTAGAGGCTGTGCCATTGTACCATGAGGAAGCTCGAGGAGGCACAAATAGTGGCTCTGAGTGGCCTTCCCCAGGCCCTTCCTCAACCCTGTCACACGGTACAGTCAGCTGCTGTTCAGGGAGTTGGCAATGGCTAAGAGGGAGCCAGTGTGTCAGAATACTACTTGTTAAAATTCTAGTTCCAGGGAAGAAGGGTGCCTGAGGAGAGAGGTCTTGGCTGCCTCAGGCAGCCCTCAGGGAGGACACTAACAAGTACCCTGAAGCCACAATGGAGACACTGAGTGGTGGCTCCCCCACTACACACACACACACACACACACACATACACCACACACACATGTGTACACGTGCACATGCACACGTTCTTTGTGAGGTGTGATGAGCCCTCGTTCTGAGCACAGATGGATTTAGGTCTTGAGGAGCTCAGCAGAGCTCACAGAAACTTTTCGGGGAGACCATGGGTTCTAGGAGATCGAGGGAAAGTGAGGGCAGAGACTGCTAAGCTAAGATGGCTGTGATGGTTTATTCACACCATTTTTGACAGAGGGTCTCTGATTCCTCTTCTCAGATATTTATAGAAGGGCCAGTTGTGCCCAATTGCTGCTGAACTGTGGGTTCCATTAGTCTTCCTTTTCACCAGAGGAAGGAGTACTTGGATCATAGAGTGTTTGAGCCCCTCTACCCTCCACCAGCCCACAGCATGCCCCTGGGCCCCAGAGAGTCTTGAGGCTGGGGGCATCTGCCCAGAGTCAGGCATAAGTAATATAGCCAGGCATAAGTAATATAGCCAGGCATAAGCACAGGTGGGAGGGGTCCACCCACTTCTGTGGCCCCATCCCTGTTCCTTCCCAGAAGGGACCGGGTCCCATGTGTTTCAGGAAAGTCTAATAAAGCTGTCAGTCTGATGGCTGACTCTAGGCCTCCTGGGCCAATGCTTAAAAAACAAAACAACCCCCCCCCAAAAAAAAAACCCTGAACCCACAAGAGCCAACCAGGCAGCCCAGGGAAGATGGGTAACCTCGGGAATATGGCCTTATTGTCCTGGAGCTGCCCTTGTGCACTTACTGGGTCCTCACAAACTGTCCCTTTATGCTCTCTAGGCAGTCAGCTGTGGCTTCAGCCTGTGAGGGCTGGGAACCTGGGAGGAGGAGGCCAGAGGGCAGTCAGTGATCCCTCCTGAGTGTACAGCTTCATGCTGACCACATGAGGGCACCATTAGTCAAACTATTGTCAAGTCAGGTTTACTGTGAGCCTCATGGCTCCTCTGTCTGACCCTGGTTTCACATACAACCCCACCCCCACCCCTTCCATCCTTATAACTAGTTTGTAAATCTCATACACTGTACTCCAAGACCTACTTTTAAATACCAGTGTCACTAAGACAGTGGCACGTGGGTAGGACGAGACATTTCACACACTCTGAGAAATCGTGAGGACATGTCTCACTGGCAAGAGAGGTACCATCTGTGGTGAACCTACCCTGAGAGCCCTGGGCCTCTGGTCGGCTCACTCCAGCTTCCTCTCTCCAGGCCTCCAGCCCCTCTGCTGATCTCACATGCCAGTCCCCTTCATCCAGGCACCACAGGGGAACATGTCACCATGTCCAGCTCTCTACTAACTGCTGGGATGCCAGTGTCCATGGGTTCAGGCTGTGGGTTCTGAGTGCTGGCTGCTGTACCCCAGCCCCAACACCCGCTCACTCTTACTGCTGGCCCTTGAGTGTTTACTGTTACCCATGACTTACCTACTGATGTGAGCTACAGGGTTAACTTTTCCTGGGCAGATGACACCGATGACAAGCCAAGAAAGGTCCATCCAAGTCCATCTTTTCAAAGTCATGCATTGCCTAGGCTCCTTACATGTTCATGGGTCACCCCCCAAACAGCAGCATCACAGAAAAGGCACCATCTCCCCAAAACTGTATGGGGCTGGAGCAGGATTGTGTACAGGAAAGCAGGTAGGAGATGGTACCTAGAATCTCAGGTGAGAGCCCAGTGCTCCCTCACCCACTCCATCTATGAGAGATTAGCAGGCCTGATCTTGTGGGTACTCACAGATGCTCTGGTTTAAAGAGGACAGCAACCATGCCACACCCAGAGGACAGTGTTCTATAGCATGAGTCTTATGGGGCCCTCCTCACTGATGTCACAGGGCTTGGAGTATTTGACCTCTGCTGCCCCAAACCAATGCGGGATGAAGTAGGTCCTCCCGATGCCCCTGCTAGGTCTGGCAGGAAGACCCTGCTGAGCTAGGTCTTTGGGGAATGTGAATCAGCTGGGCACTTATGTCTGTTGCAGGACAGACCCTGTCATTCTGTGATTGCTCTTTCTGCTGAATGGTATTGTCAGACCTCAAGCCTTCAAAACAATGGCCTCAGAGAAGGTTCCAGCAAATTCCAAACTCCTAAAACAGCTTTTGTGAGACTTCTGGGCCTTTTTTTTTTTTTTTTTTTTTTGGATAAAGTAACACTGAAATTTAGCTCACGTGCTCACCCAGGAAGCCCCCTTGCATGTTTTAGGGCTGGGGACCACAGTGGGTCTCTCTAAATGCTGGTGCCTGGATGCTGAGGAACATCTGAGGCTCTCACATGCTGCCTCCTCCAGTTCTTCACCTTTTGTCTCTCAAGGCCTAGGGCATCTCCCTGCAGGAGCCCAAGGAAACCACTTCCTAGGGCCAATTCCAGTGCCCGGCCTGCAGAGAATGCAGGCCAAGAGACACCATGAGGATGGGTCCACCTTCAGCTGAGACCTCTCTTCCTGCCCCTGGCTGGGAGGAGGGAGAAGATGTTGGCAACAGGAATGAAAGGGCACAAGATAGGGCTGTGGCCTTCTGGGACTGGAGGCTGCCAGTGACGGTGAGAAAAGGGAGGCTGCTTCATTCCAATATTTCCTCAGTGAGTATGACCCTAGGAGGCAGCCATAGTATCCTAGTGACCGAGTGTGGCAGGTCCAACCCTCTGGACTCTGTGACAATGGTAAAAAAAAAAAAAAAAAAAAATCCTTTTCTGTCCTTAACAAGATAGAGCCCCACTTCAGAGTCACCATGAGGCCTTGGTCCAGGACTGTGGCATTGTTAGTCCTATACCTGGCCCACAGCCACACAGAAAGTCAGAAGGACCTCACCCAGAAAGTGGGCCTGGCCCCAGCTGGATGGAATCATGATGGAACCTCCTGCCCCAGGAGTTCTCTGTGTCCCGGACTGTCGGCTGCCGGGCAGTGGGATGAGAACACATATGCCTTCCCAGGTTCAGTTGTCAAACCGTAAACTAGCTATAGTGGGCAGACCATCCGGAAGCACAGCTGTAAATGCTGGTTTTAATATAGATGTGTATAGATGTATACTATAAATTAGTACAGCAGCTGTTTTTATTTATCCTCGAAAATCCCCAACAATGACACAGAGAGTCCAAGATTTGCTTAAGGCTTTACAACCTGGGCAGTCAATTGATATGTTTTAATCCCCTAAACTAACCTGGCTCCCTCCCAGTCAAAACCCCATGATACTTGCATTTCGAGCCTTCCGTGCTCCAACTGACCTCTTGTGATGTCGGGTCTCTTCCCTCTTCATGGCTCAATGTGTTACTCTTGTTTCTCTCCCCTCCCCCGGCCGGCAGAAGTCCCACCCTGTTCTCCCTTCTGCCCAGACATTGGATAATCAGCCTTATCGACATAGCAGAGAATAAATGGGGAGAACTGTTTACATAAACTTGAAACGGGAGATTCCTGACGTAAGCATCACGATGTTGTGCACAGATTGAAACAAGATACGAGGGCAGAGAAATCAGCATTTGAATAACACACGGATAAACTTTACATAGTGCACAGAAACATACCTACACACAGCTTGCACTCTGATCCCATCCCTCTAGTGTATGTTTTTAATTCTTACGTGTGGTCTCCACAGGCTCTTCGGTTTGAATGCTTGGTCATTGGAGAGTAGAACTATTTGAAAGGATTAGGTGTGGCCTTGGGGGGTGAAGTGTATCATGGGGGAAGACTTTGAAAAAAAGTCTTAAAAGTTTTAAAAGCTCAAGGCAGGCCTAGTGTCTCTCTGTCTTCCTGCAGCCTGTAGATCCAGATATAGAACTCTCAGGCACTTCTCCAACACCATGACTGCCTGCGATGCTGACAATGGACTAAACCTGTAAGCCAGCCACAATTAAAAGAGATTTCCTTTATAAGAGTTGCTATGGTCATGATGTCTCTTCACAGCAGTAAAACACTGACTAAGAGAGACGTTGGTACCAGGAGTGGGGTATTGCTGTGCTAGGCCTGACCATGCTGCTCGTTGGCAGAATGTGGACTTTGGGACTTTGGATTAGGATCACAGTTGAGTGCTTTGAGAAGCGATTAATGGGCCGTACTGGTAGGAGCGTGGCAGGCAGTGGTACTGAGAGCAATGTAGATTATGATGACTCAGCTCAAAAGGTTCCAGAGGAGAATATTAATAAACAAATTCTTGTGGTATTTTGGCAAAGAATGTGGCTGATCTCTATCCTTGTCCAAAAACTCTGCCTGAGGCTAAGTTGAAGAGTTTTTGGATTAATGGTGTTGGCAGAGGAGATTTCAAGACAACCTAGTGTTGCCTGTGTTGCATGGTTATTAGTGGCCATTCTTACACAGACCTATAATGAGAAGGAGGAAGCTAATAAGCAGCACCCCTCCATGGCCTCTGCATCAGCTCCAGCCTCCAGGTTCCTGCCCTGTTTGGGTTCCTATGTGACTTCCCTCAGTGATGAACAGTAGTAAATGTAAGCCAAAATAAGCCCTTTCCTCCCGAAATTGCTCTTGGTCATAGTGTTTCATCATAGCAACAGATACAGTAAGACAGTATTTCATGCACTATATTTTTCACTCAAATGGACTTGTGTGACATTTGGTATGAGTGAGTGAAGGCCATGCCCATGGCACTGGGTGTTGGGGACAGAGCTTCATGGATAGAGGGGTGAGGAAAATGTGGTCCCTGTGTGTGGCCAACAAGTGTCTGCATTTTCTTGGGCATTTGCATAGATGCACACACGGAATGGCAAGCTAGATATAGGCTCTCAGGCTTCTGAATTAGCCTAGGATGGGTGGGCTCAAGGACCCTGGGTGACATTGTGGAAATGTGTTCCCCTGAAGAGAATATTCTGGCTTCAGCAGCTTGCTAGAGTCTCAGGTCTAAGGCCTGTTGTGGAATTGTGAAGGGATAACTTTACGGGTGTATTCTATGTGAATTATTGGGCATCTGTTCATGTCCAGGTGTGTACAGATGCAAATGAACATGTATGTGCATGTGCATGTCAGAGGACAAGATCCTGTGTTGCCCTCGATCACACTCCACCTTATTTTTTGTGTCAGGGTCTCTCCTCAAATCTGGAACTCCCTAATTTGGCCCAGCTGGCTAACCAGTGAACCCCAGGGATCCCCCACCTCACTCTTCCCAGTTCTAAGCTTACAAGTGTGCACTGACAGCCATGCCAGCTTTTTCCTTATGTGAGGGCTTAGAATCCAAGCACAGGCCTTCATACCGCATGGCAAGCAAGTTTACCTACCAGCTGTCTCTCTAGCTCCCTCATGAAGAGATTCCATGGTTGGAGAAAGAGGCTGTGATTCCTCCATAATAGAAATTGCTCCAGGGGAAGGGGAGAAACTGAGTCAGGCGGTGCTGCTCTGTCTCCGGTTTTACTGGATTTGCACATAGCTCACAGCAGCCCCGGCAGGCTGTTATTATTTCCATGTTTGCAGAAAAAGAACCAGAGGTGGTCACAGTGAGTCCCAGAAGAGCAGCGTCTCCCCTCATGCACACCCCTTGGCGGTAGCCACCCTTAGGAAGCCCTGTAGGTTGGCCCTTTGTGGGTGTTCCTTAGACCACTGGTTTGGGGCTGGCAGCATGCAGTCAGACCGTTTGGGCTGAGGCCTAGGTGTATGGAACAACCCAGCATTCTGAGCCTTCTTTTCTTCTTCACTCTAGGAAGGGTCAGGCTCGCATGACCAACTCAGAGGTACAGAGACAGACCTGGTGCACTCCCCTGAAGGCTAGGAGGGAGGCAGTATGTGGGTTCCAGTTAGCACAGCTGTCCCATGGTCTTAGGGTTTCAGTACATAAATCTCATGCATCACGAGGAAGTAGCCTGTAACCTTGAGGGATGGACCTACTGCAGCAACCTGGTCCATCACTGGGGAATCTGTCAGGGGTCTGTGCTCCATGTGGCCACCACAGTGCTGGCTCCTCCCTCTCTGGTTTTAGGCTTTGCTGTGATCCACATGGCCAGGCCAGGACAGTTAGAGTCACCTGCTAACCATTAAGCACCATGGTAAATTCAGTGAAGCCCTGTGTAGGGCATCTCAGAAGGGGCTCAGCCCCGACTGCCTCAGGGTGTAAGGTGCCCGTATTGCCCAGGCCAGAGCAGAACGGGGATCTATTCTGTTTCCACTTCGTAAGACACTGGCCCAGTGAAACCAGCTGGGCAGGGGAGTGGGGCTACAATTCTGCTGAGCCAGCAGCAGCAGAAGGCTGTGTGAGAGAAAACATACCCGTACATGGACCTGTCCCCAGGAGTATTCTGCATGTCACTGGACATGTGGAGCTCTTCGTCCTCCTATGTACTGGATGGCACGCAGCACACTGGTGTGTGCTCTGGGTACCACCGTCACAGATCTTCCAGGACTCAGAATGGTCGGCTAATGGAGATGCAGCACGCAGCTTTGCTGGCTGCATAATTTATAGTGCACTGTCGAATTCTGACTTTCACTTAAGTGCAGAAATGGCTTGCTGAGAATCGTTCATAGATTCAGAAATCAGGGATTCAGAGAGGTGCCTCCACCAGCCTGTCTCGTTCCTCTCTGCTGAGGATTGGCTGGTAGCAGGGCCTGCTGGCATTGCACAATTGGCTTGGATGTGAAATTACCCAACAGAAGCAGACCTCCCACTTCCACCCTGTGACTCAGGCTTCTGCTGCCAGGCTGAGCCGAGAGACTGAGGGCATGCTACCAACTACACGATGCTGCCCTGCCTTTACCACAGATGTTGCTGCTGCGGAGGGCGAAAGCTCCTGCCTCACACCCCACAGACACCAGGGAGCCTTCACAAGCCTTGGAGATTTTCACCCAAAGTTGTGATGTCACCAGGAGCCATTTTTTAATGTGGATGAACACAGGACCTCAGATGCTAGGACTAACGTGACGTGGGGGTCCTCACGCTTGTTCTGATGGTTTTGATCAGCCGTCTGTGCACCAAAAGAAGAGGCTTGGCCCTTGCAGTGCAGTAGGATGTCAGTCTGTCCCAGGAGGAGGGGCTTCTGTTGATCTGTGAATCGATGCCGAGGAACAAACAACATACTGAAAGTATCTGTTCTCCTTTACATAGAAGAAAGTCCTGGGAATTACAGGGTGGGGCCTCTTGGGCCTTCAGAAGCCCAGTGCTGCTGAGACCTCTCTCGGACATGCACCGTGGCATGCAGTATAGAGATGGCATGGGACAGTGGGGTTGCTGGTGTCCACGGAAGCCAGGTTTGCTGCCAGCACATGCTGACTCCAAGTGTTTCTCCTTGTTTCAGTTTGCAAGATGCTGGCATTGGATTCATCTTGGTCATAGACCGAAGGCAGGACAAATGGACCTCTGTGAAGGCGTCAGTCCTGCGAATAGCCGTAAGTACCTCTGGGGCTCAACACATGCTTGGAGGGCGGCAGCTTGCTGCTTTTCTTTCTAGTTTGTGTTGAAGGTGGGGGATTGAGGTGACAAGCAGGAGACCTCAGGGGTAGGCTGAGCCATGCTAGGCCCACAGGGGCCCCCTGAATTGTGGGCATGTTTCCCCTGAGGTGGTCACTCTTAGGGGTCTGTTGTGATCCTCTCAGTAACAGCTTGGAAGTTTTGAGCAGAGACGGTTCTGAGCACGCTGGACTTCAGGCTAGAAGTTGGATATTGAATCCAATCGTTTCTAAGCATCTCTCTCCTCTTCATGTTGGGCTGTTTAACCGTAGTCCTGAGATGTGTTGTTCCTTGTTACCAAGCCCCTCCCCCCTTGTAGCATGCAGAGACCCTCAGTTCCAGGGACCTTCAGCAGCGCCTGCAGCCACAACAGTAAAGTTGCAGGTCTTGCTGGCGGTTTCAGCCTGCAGTTGCTATTTCAGAGCAGTAAGACTAAGACAGCAGAAATCCGGTTTCCGCAGCTGTTCCACCCACCTACAGACTTGATATGGGCCACGTCTTCCGAGACGAGTTCACCCACACTTGTCATCCCCACCTGCCACCCACAGCTTCATGAAGGACCCAAAAGTTTGGGTGTCCACTAGCACCATGGCTCTGGGCAGCAACTGTTTAGCTGCTCCCAAGGTCTCTGGGCAACTGATCCCATGGTGCCAAATTCTTCATCCACTTTTGCTCACACCTCCTCAGAGCCTAGGCTCCCTTCTCCTCAGCTCCTGTTTTGCTTCTGTCTTCACAGAGTACAGCTGCGTGGGGCCAGCATGAACAGGATTCCTTCACACACATATCACATGTACTCACTGGTCATACATCTGGAGAGACAATCACAGTGTGAATGTGCATGTGTGTGCACATGCTTGCAGTGTGCATGTGTCCTTGTAAAATTACACTTATTTATTGTTAGGGGAGCCTGTGTGCTGTAGCAGAGGTCAGTGGACAACAGTGCGAGTTCACTTTTCCCTTCTAACACGTGGGTCCTATGGGTCCTAGAACACTTCACTCTCTGAGCCGTCTATGTTTTATCTAGTAAGTCACTCCCAGGTTAGAAGATGTGTTTCCAAATACAAGATATTTTCCCAGGAAACAGAAATTCCGCTTTAAGACTGAAGCAGTCCGGTGAACCTGCCCCACAGGAAGCTTTGGTGCTGCCTTGCGCACCCCGGTGCATGTTGGGCCCCTCTCGTCAAGTGTGAATATAGATGAACTTAGAACAAGGTTTCGAAGTGGGTTTCTGAAGCAAGCTGGCTCATCCATAAAACTGCTTTGTGAGCACGGAGACTGCAAGGAGAGAATTTTGATTAGTTTTACATCACCCGTTGTTTTCTGTTGTTGTTGCCTGCTTCTGAGTTGGAGTCTCACTCTACAGTTGAGTCCAGTCAGGGCTCTCAGCCTGCCTGTCCCAGCCTCCCAAACACTGGAGCTGTAGGTGCACCCTGTAGGCGACACTATCGCACCTATCTTGCATTGGTTCTTATAGTGTAAAACAGGAAGTGTTTTTCCTATGACTCTTAGTATTTGCCAGAGCTAGGAAGTAGCAGAAGCTACCATTTATTCCAGCGAAATTGTCATGTATTTGCTTTGATCTCCAGAAATGACCAATGATCTTCACACAAATCCAGCAGGTAATCTAAGCAAGTACTACAGGCCAGGCCTGGGGCAAGCCTGGGAAAATGAAGAAAACAGTGAAAAAGAGTGTGCAGCCAGGCTGGATGTGCAATGCAGGGACCCTGGGGGCCACAGCAGCCTGCAGGAAGCTGCTGACACCCTCAGCGTAGGGACAAAGTCACAAGGCAGTTTGTTGCTGTTCTAGGAGTGGGTCCACCTTCCTATGTAGCTAGAACCCCTGACAAGGCTCTCTGGGAAGGCTGCATGTATGAGGGAGAGTACAGCACAGAGGGCGGTGGGGGGGGGGGGCAGGAGAGAGGAAGAGCTGAGCATGTCTCCAGGAGGAGGTGTACAGTCTTAGTTATTCCTGAGATGCGGGAAGCAGCCTCAGCCTCAATAGCTGAGCCCCAGGGAAGGATGGCACACTAAGAAATAAGACACCATTCAAGGGGCTCAACTGTCCTCCTCCTGAGCCTCTGAGGGTCACCTGGCAAGGAAGCACAGCATATAGACATATAGACAGGGGTCGATACCTGGGGTCTGGAAATGGGATGGCCATTCGGTTCCTACCCACTCAGTACACATAGCTGTTGAGGCAGGCCAGTATGTTTCCTCCAGGATCCTGGCTTTAGAGTGTGTCGAGAAGCAGCCTGTTGTGGGCACGGCACCCAGACCTGGGTCTCCACATGCACTGGGCTTTGAGTTCAGGTAGTCTCAGGGAAACGACTGCTTCATCCAGCCAGGCCCCCAGGAGGCTCTCCACATCGGCCCTCTCAGGGTGCTACCAGGCAAGGAGGCCAAGGGGCTTCTGCCTCCTGCTGCCAGGGTTCCTGCTGAGCCACACTTATGTAAGCCTTGGGGATGACTGCTATTCTTAGCTGCCATCTGTGCAGCCTCATGAGTTGGCGTTCCCTGCTTTGCGGTGGTCTTTTTCCTTTTTGATGCCTCCAGCTTTGCTTGGAGCTTAAAAAAATAAGGAACTGAAGGAACCAAAGACCCAGTCTCCCTAAAATTCCAGTGCCTCCATCAGAAGAAAAGTGTGTGTTCATCTCTGGACAAGCATGCGCTGGCCTTCATCACTGAGCAAAGACGGAGACACTCAGCCCAACACTGAGAGCCCAGGCACCTCCTCACCAAGTAGTTGGCTCAAAGTTTTGAGTAGCCATTCTCACAGAGATATAAAACACCCGAGGAAACACTTCTAGGCTCTCTGTCAACAACCCCCCATCCCTGCTATACTGTGTATGTTTCTGGCTGTGTGTCCCGTGGGTGTGTTAACATTCAAGGATATCATTATAGAATGTACATGTCTAGTCTCAGAGGTAGCCTAGTCCTAACTAAACCCGTGCCTTGGCATGGCATGTTTCACTTAGGGAGATTGTGTGTGTGCGTGTGTGTGTGTGTGTGTGTGTGTACATGTATGTGAGAGATGTGTTTGTACATGTATGTGAGAGATGTGTGTGTGTGTGTGTGTGTGTGTGTGTGTGTGAGAGAGAGAGAGAGAGAGAGAGAGAGAGAGAGAGAGCGCGTTATTTCAAGGTCTAGTGTCTTCTTCAGTTACTTTCTCCCTTATTCTTTGAGACAAGGTCTCTTGCTGAACCTGAGGCTCTGATCCAGGTAAACTGGCCAGCTAGCAAGTCCCAGGGACTCCCTGTTTGTACTTCCCCAGTACTGGGGTCTCAGGTGATGATATCCCATGTACCGCCACACCCTTCTTCTTATGTGGGTTCTGAAGGAATTGAACTCCCCTGCACATGCACAGCAAATACTTTTCTAACTGAGCTACCTCCTCAGCCCCAAGAAAATGGAATCTAAAGTACTGCTCAGTCTGCCCAGGGGTAGAACTCTTTTTGCTCTGGGGATGATGTAGTCTGTGTGGAACAGCATAAGACTTGTGTCTGAGGGACCTGGGTTTGCAAGTCATCCAGCCAGCTGTCACATTTGCTGCATGAAGCATTGCCCATTGACTCCTGTCCTGCTCCAGTCACGGGCTGAAAGATCAAGTGACCACCACAGGTCAGGAGAGTCATGGAGGTAGAGTGGGAGGCAGCACTGGAGGACTTCCAGGCAGAGGTGTCTGAGAGGTAGGCAGGGTGTGCTATGAATTTCCCCTGGGGCACTGTGCCAAAGTGCAGGCCAGAGAGAGAGAGGCCAGTAAGTGAACCTCAGAAGTTGGGCAGTGGTCAAATCACTAAGAGGGAAAGCATCATGTTGTTAACTCCCTTACTAAGTAGTCTACAGACTGACCAGAAGGGTAGAGATGACAAGTAGTGAGACACCATGATGGGGCGGAGCCACTTGGCACCTGGTACTCCTTGTGGGCAGCCAGGCTTCACGTGGAGATGTGTGCACCCCAGGCTGGTCAGATGAGCAGCTGCGAGTCGTGTGGAAGGCTGGGACCACTACCTGATAACCATCATCCCGACGCTCACTGTTCCTGTGAAGTGTTCCAGTTTCACCTCCCAAGAGGCCAGGATGGCTCTGGAGGAGCAAGCCTAGGCCTCCTAACACCAGAGCCTGAGCTCTTCCTACAGTGAGGTCCCCACTGGGTAGGGATGGTCTGTATAGAGTATTGAAGAAGGAATATGGGCACAACCTAAAGGGTGTCTTTTTAAACAGTTGCCCTCCAGCCAAAGGTCAGCTTTCCCACTTTATCAAGTTCGCTTTCTTAATGATGCTTATCAGTCTTAGTGTCAGAGAAAGTTCTTACCTGTGCCTCGGCTGCCCGCTCCTGTCCACTGGAGCTGGTCTGTAGCTTTTCTCTTGACAATCACTGAAGCAGTTTAGGAGAAAGGTTTGTTCTGGCTGAGAGTTTGAGAGGGTCGAGCCATGGTCTGGAGACTCCATTGCTTTAAAGCAAGACAGATACTCAGCAGGGAAGGACATGGCAGAGGACTGTACCCGCTCACAGAGAGGAGTGACACACAGCAGTCAGGAACACGAGGCTACAAAGTAAAGCAGAGTTCTTACCAGTTCAGCACCTTTTCTTCCAGTTTTTTATTTTGAAATAGTTCAAGTTTACTACCATGTGTTCTTGCCATGACACTTTTCCCATGTGTCTATATGTCTGTGTATACATACACACACACACACACACATGTGCACAGACAGACACACCACCATACTTATATACCCTCCCACACAGAAGTACACATATACACAGAGAAACTTGCTCACAGATAACATGCACACATACAGACCCATGTATACACAGAAGCATGCACATACAGACAAGTGTACAGACATGCATCATGTGTGTACCCATACACATATACAGGTGAGAGACATGCACTGCGTGCATATACACAGAGGCACACATACACATATACATAAAGACACATGCATACAGAGATATGAACACCTACATGTGCATAAGAAAGCATACAGGCAAATGTAAAGGTGTACATGAACACACATGGGCTCATGGACACTTACACACATGCACAGATCCACATACACTCATATACAGGTACATGTATATGAGTATACAGTCCCACACATGCATACACATATGTACACAGATGTACCTACACATGCACAAAAGCGCATATACGAATGTGACACACACATGGTAACTCACCTGGATGGACACACACACATACACACTTGCTTGCTGAGCCCACTTGACAACTGGTTATACCACTGTGGGAAGTTTTCCTCCAGCTCTTGGCTATGAGCCCACTGAAAATAAAGCTGGGCTGTTGTGAAGCCAAGACCCACAGTGGCAACATAGTATTAACATTGTTCCGACTATGGCAGGAGTAATTGTAAGCTTAAAGATACACTAATGAAACAGCTTTCTTATATCTTCTGATAAAATCCAAAGTCGGAGACAAGTGAAGAGAGCAGCCAGTTATGCCACCTCAATGTCTCGTTTAGCTTTTGCTTTAGGTCTTGTGACACTGATACTTGTGAAGGCTGGAAGCCAGGAGCTTTGTAGAAACCCTGGGTTTGGTTTCCTTGCCTCTAGCTTCAGCTAGCCACCCCAGCAAACCTCCATAGTGGGTACTGGGCACTCTTGTGTCCTATCAGGTCAAATCCCTGGACTTTTCCACTAGATGATGGCTCTTCTGTTTGTGACGAGCATGTCACCTGTGGCGATGCTTTGGGCTAACCAGCAGCCTATTCCTCAGTATTCTTCCTCCCCTGTTTGCTTCCACAGGGATCCTTGAACTCCTACCCAAGCCAAGAGTGTACTGGGTGTTGTCTCATGGGTGTTTCCTCTAGTGGCCTGTGGCAGGTGCTGGGTCCCCATCTGCACCTCCTAGTTCCCACATAACCTGCAGGCCCAGCAATGATCAGGTGACTGTTTGTTCTCTGCCTGAAGGACAAGTGTGGACTCCATCACCCCTGTAAGGGAGAGAGGTTATAAACTGACCAGAGAGTGCCCAAAATGCCTTCCAGCTCCCAGAGTGAGTTTTGTAGTCATGTTGCCCCCTATAGAGGAGATGTGACAAGAGCCAGCTGGAGCTTCCACAGAGCAGAAAGAACAGGCAAGCACCTGCTTGAGGTGGGTGGGGACAAGAACGACAGCTGCTTCTCTGACAGTGTCCTATTGTCCCATTTTCCTACCAGCTGCCGACGCAGTCTCTCGAGTTTACCATGCAGAGTCCCCATGTGTTTGTTTTCCTGAGTCTAACTGATGTCAAGTTTGTGGGGATGTGTTCTGTGTCCCCTGTGGGGAGCACACCTGGGTAGTGGTGCAGATCCACCCTGAGATCTCCATCCCCAGAGACTTTGTGATTTATTAATACTGGTCTCATGCATGCACCTGTGGCTGTTGTCTCAAAGCCTCTTCAGAGGCTCCACGGCCGGCATTTAGCCTCTCAGGAGGGCACCTTAGACTCAGATCTAGGCTTTTCTTGCTAGTGAACACTGAAGTAACAAATGCCATTTTCACATTAGCTTTTGTTTGTTGGATGCTAACAGACAAGAGAGGTTGGCCCGGTGTCGGCTGCTTTACAAAGCACAGGACACAGGCCGGGCACACATAGCTCTGAGCCTTGAGGAAGACTTGCACCTCACCTCATGGACCACTCAGAATATAAGTGATACATTATGTTAGATAGAAACCTACTACCATTTTACAGTTCAAAATTATTGAGTGTTTTACAAAACACCAATATCAAATTCTCATCAGTCTATGTCTGTGTTAAAATTACTGAGTGTTTTACAAAACACCAATATCAAATTCTCATCCGTCTACTTCTGTGTTCTAGGAATGAGGGTTTTAGCTGAGACTTCCCCAGCTTTGAACACAAACAGTGTAGTCCAGAGCAGAGGATATTTACTCTGCTGCTGTTGGTTTCACAGCAGCAGCTGGTGCATGTCCTTGTGCAACCTCCAGACATGGCTTCCGTTCATCTTAATTCTTATACAATTATTTAATATGGAAATTCAATAGCGTAACAGAAACTAGTGCTGATAAACGGAAGAGACAGTAGCTACAAATGGGAAGGGGAACCTCACCTGAGGGAGTCCGGTACCTGGTAGGAATGGGGGGGATCTGTTTATCTTTTAAGGGTTCAGGCATTATCCCTCCTACACAGCCAGTCTTCTTGGAGGTGTGACTCTGGTGACAAAGCTAATTGTAGTTTAGAGAAAGGTGACTCATTGTCACCTCAGGAAAGCTGCCTGCCGCAACAGTGGCTCCTTAAATAGTGGTGTCCGATTTCACAGGGAGGACAAAACTAACAACCCTTGTGTGACATTGCCCAGAGAGTCTGTCCTCGGCTGTGCCTTTGCAGGGCTGTGTTCTGTTCTTAGTCTGAATATTCATCCTTGCCCAAGGCATCAGGGACAAAGTCTGATAACTGGCATTGCCTATTCATAGCTCCCTC